CTAAGGACAAAAACACTTTTTCAAACACACTAGAAAATTCTTACACAAGGTCACTGTAGCACTTGAACACTGGGTATAAACAATTTTCTTATATTAAACAGAATAGTGTCTAGACTGAAAGTAGCCTGCATAAACAATCTACTAAAAAAATATTCAGCTGAACATGCACAACAGTAATGAGGAAATGCCACATAAAGCCATTTTATAACAAAAAAAGAAAACAATATACTAACATGTCAATAGGACACATTTCGCAAAGTATTAGAGATGCTTTTTCATTCATTTTTAAGATTCAGACAGAATTTATGTCACCACCATTCTTAAAATTACATATAATGATTTCACTTCTCAAAATCAGAACCTTCATATGCAATTAGTTCATAAAGTAAACGAGTGCAGTATTATCCAGAACAAGTCTGCTGGAATGGCAGTTGTCTCTCACATTTCTGTTAAAATGAAACACTGGTTAGTTGTCACTGAGAATTAGAAATAGGAACTGCTGTTCTGTGACAAAGACTTGCAGTCCCATGTCACTCCAGACAGCAAGGTGTGCTGTTATGCATGGGAGAGCAAGGACATTTCATTAAAATGAAAACGTTGCAATTTTCTATCACCTTGTTAATGGGTTTCTTCAACATAGCATTGGCAGATGGCTGAGTGACTGTTGCTCCAGATGTATCTTTAGGGCCCTAGCTAGCTGCAAGCACTCATACAACCTCCATGACTCCACCTCTGCTCTGTTCTAAAAAAGCCATTTTAGACAAGCTAGTGACCTATTTCAAAATGTGTTTTTTTTTTAGCGAATGAAAAAAATGGAACTGTTATTTCACTGGAAAGCCTTCTTTACTCTCTCTCATTACGACTCACAAAGAGTATTATTCTCTGTCTCAGTTTTGTTAAAATAATAAGAAACTCATCATTCATTTATTTCTTGTCTTAGGTCATGAACCAAATGATAAAATCTAAATTCGATAATCCTCCAATTTGTTAAGGTATTTATTTCTATAAAATAATATATTTCATTGCACAACTTAACAGAACTAGATGCAGACATCCTGTCTCGACTGTTAGAATACTCAGCAGTTCTTATCTGCCGCCTTGTAGTTTTCGCATATTCTGCAGTTCTGAAATTGCCACCAACGAATACAGCTTGAAGTACACAGTATATTTGATTGAAAAGAAATATCACAATTTGTCTTTGAAAGAACATTATATCTGTAATAATTATTACCCCTTTTTCTCTTTAAATGCATATTTTCATTGCTTAACAAGATGTACTCTTGCTGACAGAAGGCCAATGCCATTTCACTTAAAAATAAATGTTGAAATGGAACCATTTTAGACATCTGATAGTTCTTTACCACAAGATGTGATTTGAAGGATGGATGAATAAACTCTTCGTCCAAGTCCAACTGTGGGTCTGTTATATGATTTCTTTGTGAAAACAAAATGCTTAGACATTGTCATACAATAAAAACTGTAAAGCACAAATACGCTGTTTACTCCATAGACTTTCAGGAAATTATAATGTCTAGTTCCCTGAAATCAACAGCAAGAATAACAATCAATAATCAATAACAATAAAACAATATGTAAAACTGCAAACTTTTTAATTTCTCCTTAACAGCTAAAATATTATAGTTTTTTTAAACTAATGTACAGTACGTATAGGATAGGACTTCAAAATTGTTTATTTTACCTGCACCTATGTATAATTAAGGACATGAATGATACACTGGGCCTGTAAGGAATATATTTAATATCCATCTCATAATATTATGCCAGTACTGCATGCACAAAGGTCTTTTAATAATCTCTTTGTTTCCTAATTTAGTTTTGATTGGCTATGAAATCCATAGCAGCACTCAAGGGCTCAGATTTCTCCAGTCATCAGCACTTCTCTGCCATAAATTGTACAAATGCACATGACTTCTTCCGTCTGGGAGCTTCTTTTCAAAGCCTCTGTTTAACCTACCCTGAAAATTAGCTGCAGTCTGGAGATAATTGCAGATAATTTTACAAAAGCAACCAGGGCTCCTGCAGAGCACAGTGGCATAGCAAGGTTTGCAGAATTGAAGCACCTCAACTATTTATGTTGCTATTCCCTCGCCAGTCTTGTTGGAATTCCCTTACGTCTCAGTAATTTTATTAAAAATACACACACAAAAAAAGATGTGCTGTTTTTCATCATTTTGCTAGCTGGAATAAGTTTCAGGCACTGAACTGCATTTACAGTATGCTGCAGACCCTGAAAAAAGGATTGAAACAAAAACTACCTCAATACTACAATATTCCAAAACAGATCGTGTAAACTTTAAGATAACCAATAAAAATAGGATTTAAAACAAAACCTATCAAGATCAAGAGTACTGCCCACCATACCACAAAAAGTGTAATTCTTTCTTTATAAGGCATAACAAATAAGACACATAAGAAAACAAGGAAACTGTTCTTGCTGGGACCAACACAATTTGTTAAATGTACAGGATTTCCTGTAAATATGAAGCAAAAAGCCAACAATGGCACAACAGAATACAATCATTAAAAAAAAAACTTTTAACCAGGGGAGATGGAGCTTTATGACTATTATTCTCAGCCACACACTAGACAACATTAATCCATTTACTTTATGTATTAATATCTAATACAGTGGAAATGAACTGTCCTATTTGACCACATGCAGAGGGAAAGTTTTTCAACTGATAAGATAATCCTATAAAAGTAAATACTTCAGCAAGACATTTCAAATGGAAAGTACATTAATTCTTGAATCAGGAAGGTTTTTCTATGCATAAAATATTTAAACATATTAGTTACTGCAAATTATATTAACAGGGTTTTAGTTGTAGCCTTATGTAAGATGATGATTCAAAAACATGGCGTTAAAACGGCCAGAAATTGCTGTTGATGTTGGATATGAGATGGTTAATGATAAGTCATTTACTTATTAGTTTATGTAATAGTAAATACTGTTGTGATTTGTTTTCAAGTACCAGTAAGAAAAAAATCCCTAATTTATCAGAAATGTTTGCCTGCGTTGAGTATAATGCTTCATTTTCCCCAGTTAAGACTGTGGTGTTTTAGGTGAAACTGATTTAGAAGACGTTTATTTCTTCTAACTGGCAGTTAACCCCCAGAAAGACCAGATTAGTTATTTTTCTTACCTTGAGATTCTATCACCAACAGTCAGCATTTTTTTAAAAGTGCTTTAGAGATGCACGTTTGAATAATGTATTCTATGAATAAAACACATTAGCTACAAACATATTCAATAATTCACTTTCAAAGCTAAGCACTGAAGTTATTAGGTCCTCTGTCACTCTCTATATGTCCTTCCTAGTTTCTGTGCTATCTATTTTTATACTTTGAGTAAGTACTTTCTTGGAACCTTTATAGTTTATCCACAAAGCCCTAGAAACCTAAAAGCAGATTTAATCGGTAGGATTTTTCATAGAGGTGTACACGTAAACTAAAGTAATTTATCTGTCATGCCTCCACATTGCTAAACCTTAAGACGCAGCTCTGATTTAAAGTCTGTCAAGAAGACCATCTTAAGAAGACCAAATTAAGAAATTTTCTGGAGTGACTCTAACAACCACTTTATATAGATATAGCAAACTTGCCTTTGAATACTTACAAGCAATCAAGATTCACAAGCTCTAAACTTACAAATATAAGATAAGTTACACATGAAAAGAGGGTTTTCAATCAATTTACCCCTTTTGCTAGCAGGTTAGTGATCTGAGGATCCAAACTAGCTGCATCTGAAGAAATACAAGGTTGTCAGTTCCGACAACATGATTGGATAGCTTGTTCCAGACTATCACAGTCATTTGTGTGAAAAATTACAGTATCTCCTTGTCTCATTTCTAAATTCATTCCACACCCTGAAACGTCCACTTGTGTCTTCTAATGCATGTTTTACTGTTGGTTCCCGAGATCTCCAATAGGTCAACTTTGTCAATAACCTTAGGTATTTTGATTAAAATGTAGTCTTTTCTGTTCGAGGTTAAAAAAAAATCAGTCCTTTACACACACCAGAGTAGGACCTTTCAGCTCAGGAATGCATATACACATTATTTGGTAAGACATTTCTAATATTAAAGTCAAGGAAGGTAAAAATTCTTGGGATCTGTGAGTCCTATCATTCCCAGACCAGTGAATTTTTAAAAAGCTTCCTTTTAATGAGTATGCAAAAAGCTAAATACAAATTCATGTCAGAAGTTTATTATTTTTTAATAAGTGGCCTCCATGCTCCACTTATTCTTTTTTACCTATTTTTGAGTCAAAAGTCAAAAGATATGAGAATCATTAAAACTTTTTTTGGCTCATATGTTAGGGTGTACAAACATATCAGCTTGTATTTTCAATCTGTTTAAATGGAAGCAACAACATGCATTTCTTGCGTCAAGAAATAAATCTTCAGAATCTGACATTTTTATAGTTTTATGTTGTTAATAACGTGTTTCACCATTTATCTTGGTATAAAGATAGTTCTAAGCTTAACATGTATGAATAAAGGTGTTACACTATATTATTGACTAATTATATGTTAGTACCTTTATTTTAAGCCTGATAAGTTGATTTTAATAGCTTGCATCTTCATTTGCTTTTACAATGAGAAAAATATTAGCATTACTGTCAAAACCTTCAATAATCAAGAACTTAAGAGATTAATCTCAAGAAGACTATTGATTAACAATCATGGAGATGTTTAAGAGGTTAACAAGGTGGATACTGTTATGACTTATTAAACTTGAGCTCTGGTAAAAATGATTTGGAGAGACTTGAGAAAAAAGACATATTTGGTAAGAATAACAGACACATTTCAGACACAGTTTTTCAGAATGTACATACAATAACATTGTACAAAATGTGAATGATTTTAAGTGACAAACATACTGAAACAATTGACAAATACTAGATCAGGGAACCCCCATACTCACTCAATTTAATCAGGAAATTCAAGAACAACGTAAAACAGAGTGGTTCCAACTTACCAATGCGCAGTATGTCTCTGGTGGGTCTCCACAAGTTATGTTAGGTGGGTCAAGCCTTACTTTTAAATATTTTGTCATGTCGGTTGCTTCTGGTTGACAGGCCATGTAATCCCAGGTTAAGCCTTCATCAGTATAGATCTGTGATTTGCATACGTCATAATGTCCCCATGTTGAGGGATAGTGCTGCACAGCATGACAAACAGTTACCCAAAGGGCATGCAGTGTCAACAAAATAGACAAATGCATCTCTAGGTCCTTTTGATGTTTTCTCTAACGTTTTTTTTTAATGTTATCCAAAGACAAGCAGACAATCTTACAATTTAATCCAACTTCTATTAAATTGAGAGGTTTGGATCTGTGCCAGCATGCCAGCTTTTTGATAATTGCTTTAGGCTGCTAGTTTTAGTCTTACTGTGTTATGTCTGTTTCCCAGTTCTGTTGTGAAATCCAGTTTATCAGCAGGCAGTTCATAGGAGTCAAGTCTCTTCAACTTTTGTACTGATAGCTTAAAGGGATGAGGTGTGTTCGGGGCTTGTGATAGACTGCCTGACGTGCTGATAAATCAGTGTCTCAGGCAAAGTGATGAGCGACTGCTGTCTCAGGTCTGTTTTCCATCAATCATCATTTTCGTCTTGCATCAAGAGCCTGTAGGAAGCAATGAAAAGTGAGAATTAACATCTTGCAGTTAATGTAAAATTAACATTTTGTGGGTAATAGCACAGACAGAATAGAAATAGTGTTTCTTTTCCAGTGATAAAGTATATAATAAAGATGCCCGGTGTTACCGAGTTGAAATTAAAAAACACAAGTCACCAAATTATGATATTGCCAAAAGTTAGACTTCAAAGAAGCTTTATGACAAGTCCTTTCAGATTATATGTTTAAATACAAAATACTCTACAGAATAGTTTCTAGATAATTAAGACTTTACACATTGTCAATTAATAGTTGTTAACATCTGAAATACTGATATACAGTACAGTAGATAAAAGAAAATCTGTATAACTGGATAATTAAATTAATCTTTCATGTTACCCCTTTTTTAAGAAGTTAAAATATCAAATGTAATTATAATATCTAAATTATTGTGTATTTTGACAAAGTGAAGTTGTTTCAGTAATGTTTCCAAGGTTAGGTTACAGCATCAACGCTGCGTTGCCTATCAACATAAGGTTACAGTATATCAGTGCTGAGTTGTCTGTTACATTCAGCTGATTTTTGAAGATTCATAAATCTTACTAGACTTTCATAATAAAGAGAAAACAAACAGAAATAAAAATAACAATAGAGTGCCTAATAATAACCAGCATTTTTCATGATATATATTGTTGGTACAGCTCAAATGAAGAAGTTATACATGAATTAAAACAACATTAACTTATTAACTTCCATTCCTGCTTACATAACAACAACAATGTTGTCCTGCCTGTTTGTTGCATACACCAGCAATGCAGTAAATCTAAACTCACAAAAAAGAAAATAGCAGTGCTGCTTCATTTGTTGTAATTTTTTGTGCTGTAACCTAATTTTGGGTGCACTTACCTCACAGTTTGTCATTATATTAAAGAGTAGGAAGAATATGCTACGATCAGCATACTGCTATTGTTCATTTAAAATGTACTGTATGTCCTTTAACAGTGTTGATGACCTTGAGCTCAGCCCATCTTTAAACTATACAATAAAGACAAAATGCAGATTTGTTTGGATGTTGGTATACCTACTGCACATGCAAGACAGGCCTAGATTATAAAGTATATCTATTTTATATAATTGTAGTTTGTAGATATACAGTATGAACCAACAAAAATCACATCATGAGACTCACATTATTCATTCAAGTTATATGCTTTATAGCTAAAATTACAGTCAAGGCCAAATGATGCCTTAGCTTCCAGACAGCTATAGTAGGGTGTTTACAGAATCCTCAGTAGAGTTTGGGGTTGTATAGCTGGACAGTCACTTGTTAGCATTTAGCTGATGTCCACTGTTTACACTTACTGCTTCTTTCAAGAGAAAAGAAAACTACCCATGCACTTTCTGGAGACAAAGCCAAGAGAACCGACGTCTGCAAATCACATCCTGGTAGCCCTTTATAGGATCTATTAAGTATTAAGGAACATTCAAAGTAATTTCTGCCAAGTTTATGAACTACTTTGAAAAAAAAGAAAACAGACTTTCTTTCTAATTTTGTAAAAATGACTAAAAATAAAATGCTTCAGCTTTCAAGCTGTTCAAATCCAATTCCCGGGCCTTGTGGCTTATAGTTTTTCTTCCATCCCAACTTAAATACAGATATTTGGTGAAATTATTTAATTAACTGCATTATTGTCTCATTTCTAACCAGGCTCTATGGTGTTTTCGAGGTAACTGTACTTTTAATGAAGCCCATATTTTGAATAATAAACTGTAAAAGAATTAAATCCTACTTAGGAGGAACCCATTATACAGTATATCTAAGAAAATAATTACATTACTGTAACTAACTCATGTTGGTACAAAAATCAGAAAAATCTAGGCCCTCCAGGAATCAGGCTTGAAACCCCTGATCTATGAGTGTTAAATTTGTATTTCTAAAAATATGACACTCCACAGCATCCGTGTGTTGTTTTATCATAAAGAAAAACAAGAGGTATAAATTCTGAATGGTGCTAAATGGTTTAGGAATGTGCCCCATTATCTCCACAGCATGGACTAGAATGAAAGAGCAATTAGACACAAACAACTCCTCACTACACACCATGCCAGCTGTTGTCTGCAATTTAATGATTCCAGGTTTTCAGTACTCTCAGAGGCTGTTCACTTCTGGGTGTGGTGTCATCAAGGTGGTTAACCAGGCAAAAACAGGAGTCTATCCCTCATTGTGTAGGTTAGGTTTTGAGCCACTGGATTGTGTTTTTTCCTATTGTCTCTTGTTACTCAGTTACCAGTTGGTCTGGGGTTTTAAAGGCATCACACATATGCTTTAGGGAAACAGAGGCTAATATATAAAAATAGAGAAAGTAAAATGCTCCATTTTAAAGATTGAACAGTTCGCTTAATTTCTGTGAGAAACCCTTGGCTTCCTTAAGCAATTGGCAAACTACTTATGACGGCTACCTGGGCAACCAGACAAGTGCTCTGCATTGATTTGGCAATACTTTACCAAGTAGAAAATAAGCAAGCACTTCTGGACATCTGGTGAAAGCAGCAGCTTCCACAAAGTTGTAGAGCAACTACTGTTTTGTAGTTACTGTTTATCAAAATCCATCTGTCGAAAGTCTTTTCAAGCCAAGGTTTACAGTTCACCTTCATAATGAACTAAAAACATGAAGCTGAGTCATGTGAAATTTTATTAGAGTAAAAATGAAAGGTGCAATGGCTGCACACATTGGATAATGTAGATTAATAATAATAATAATAATAATAATAATAATAATAATTTTCATAATCTTTTTATGCTTTATTTCAATTCATAGACAAAGAAATGTGTTTATGTAATTGATAGCATAATAGGTTTTTAAATCCATTGCTATTTTACTGAAAACAATTACAGGTATTTAATATAATTATGCATTCTTATGGACAGCATTGTTGTGCAGTGGTAAAAATTGCTGCCTCGCAGCACTGGAGCCCTGGGTTCAATGCCAGATTTGTGGAATTACAGTATCTGCATGGAGTTTGTATGTTCTCCCTGTGTTTGTGCGGGTTTCCTCCGAGTGGTCTAGTGTCCTCCCAGTTCATGGCCTTTCTGGTAGGTTAAGTGGCTTCTGGGAAAATTGTCTATAGGTGAATGTGTGGGAGTCTGTGCTCTTGTGCTCTGCATTGGACTGGCTCCCGCATGACCTTGGATAAAGCAGTTATGAAAAGGATGGATGGATGGATTATACAATTTAGCATATTAAAATACCCATATGTAGGTACATTGAAACACTGATGTAAATCTTTAGATTTTTAATTTTGATACAAACATTAAACTGCTAATCATTTTAATATTCTCAGAGCTTGCATTATGTATCCTACTGATCATGATTTTAGTCTGAATTCATGTGAAGAATTGTTCATTACATAAAGGTTAAAAAGAGTCCTCTAAAATTGGAAAATACATAGGTATTCTGAAATGATGAGACGTTCATCCTTTCATGCTTTCACACAAAAATTAATGACAGTTTTATTGTTGTTTTTAAATATTTTAACAAATATATTTTTATGTAAATCTTGCACTGTTTAAAGGGTTCAAAACAGATTTTCATTTCAATTCATTTGGTTTAGAGTTCTATTAATAATGCTACTAATAACATAAACTACACATTTCTCCTGTTTTAAGAAGGTCCAGAGACTACAGTGTTTCAAGAATAGAACAGGATACTTTGTCAATCTAAAAATATAATTCCATTCCATTAAAATGATGACGGCCCATCTAAGTCTCCATTATCCAAAATTATGGATGAAACCCTTGATTTAACTCACTGCAATGAACAGGGGGAACCTGCTATCGAAAGGGGAGTGAGGGGAGGGGCTCCAGATGTGTTAATCGTTGAAAGGTCAATGTAAGAGACATTCCAGGTAAGAAGGAGCCAATTATAACAAAAATTTCAGGCGTAGAACTAGTTGTGATTAATAGCCTCCCATTACTTTATAGACATAATATTAATATATTAAAAATGTCAGAGCTTGCCAAGAACTAATATGGGAAGGCCCGGTTAGCAAGAAAAGATATGTATAATGAGCTAACACTGATACAGGGATAGATAAGGGGCAACGCATATTAAAGATCACATGCAGAGGTCATTATCACTTTTACAATTTAGATACCAGCCTTTTCTCTCATTATTCTGCACTTAGATTTCAGTGTCACAGTGAAAAGAAAGTTTCGTGCTTTGCATGATAAGTAAGACTTACGCTGTTAAAGAAAACTATATATTCGCAGACTCTTCATTCAATTTCTAAGAGTTGAATTAAGATTATAGAAACACAAAGGAACCCCTAGCATTTCAAGCTGACCATTTTTACAAGAAAACGAGTTAATGAAAATAATTTAATTATTTTCTACTGCCCAGCACACACTATGATTCGTAATTTCAAGTGAATTAGGTTATGAATAATAGCATGTCTGAGTCATGCTTGCAGAATTTTACGTCTGCTTTACATTTACATTTTTTGAGAACCAAAATCATGTATGTGTACCGTAAGCACCTGTGTATTGAAAAGGTTACATTTGTATTTTAGAAAATAGTTATCATTTTACTGATCTAACTGCGTGGCAAATGGTGGACAACTAATCTGACATCTGATCAAAAATATATTGGTAATACTCCAGTTTAAGGAATGCAAAACATTTGTATACACTGTAAAATTAAATATATTGAAAACTTATTAACAGAGTTAAATTAATGTGATGGCATTCAATCTTAACTGTAGATTAACTGGGCATTATTAGCAAAACCCTGATATTAACCATGTACCAAGCCATACTCCTGACCATAGCATTGGGTTAAAGTTTTGTAATAAATGTAATACTATTTATATCTCCATTCATAACATTTTAATAAATGACTTATAGACAGGAAATGGTTACTGGTAGTGATTACATTAATCTTCTCTTTACTGCACATATAGTGAACATAAAAATACTGGAAAACCTGAAGGAGGGACACCATGTATATTGAAAGTAAAGGCCTCCCCACAGCTGTGGTTCATGTGTTAATTAAGCACATAATATCCTAGCATGTGTAGGGATCATTTCTTAGCTGACTATAATTATAGCAAGCACGACTGCAAGAGGAGACCTCAGTGACTTTGAAGGAAGCATGATTGTTGGGTCACATTGGTTGGGAGCTTCAGTGAGCAAGACAGCTTGACTTGCTGATGTTTCACGTGCAACAGTGTCTCAGGTGATGTCGGCATGGAAAAGACATCATCTGCAAAGGGCAACATTGGGTGAAAGCGCATACTCCTGGATCGTGATTGGTGCTCATTAATTCCAAGTGCAAGGCAAAGCCACAGAGCTGGATGCTCTCAAAGATACTTCGGAAGACTGGAATTTGTGATATCTATGTGATGATCTTTTGTGTTTGGAGTGTAAAGTTCTATAGTTAATAAGAAAAAATGGGCAACTTTTGAAAGCCGGCTGGAGATAGAGTGGCAGAGTAAACAAAAGCCTATGTTATGAGCTCCCTATTTCTATTTTGTCGTACTAATATTAAAATCGCTTTCACGATTGAGAAGAAATAAAACATGTTACCCAAGCCCAATATTTCACTGGATTTCATCATCGCACTGGTGGCAACGGTACAGTTGCAACAATTTTACTACTCCGCACTTTTAACACAAACAAAAGAGCACCACACAAACATCCGATATTCTAGTCCTGCACCAGAGTCTGGGCTGCAGTGCACAAAACGCTCTTCACACCTGCCAACGAACATTTGCAGGGCCAGTGGTGCACAGAGCACAGGCAATGGGCTAGAGTGGTGGGTAAATGTGATATGGTCAGATTAACCATCTTTCACCATGTTATTGCAGCCTAAAGCTGGTAAAATGTGAGTTTAGAGAACAACAGCTGTGGGACCCCAACCACACATCTCACATAAATTCTCCTTGGCTCACATGCTGAAACACATGCATCCAAAAAGTAAAATATATGCACAATAACATTATAACAAGAATAACATTGTCATTAAATTGTTATAATGATTGCAGACTATCTTAAGACTGTGAGTGTGGGAAAAATAAGAAACAAATGCTTTAAATGTATAGCTTCAATGTATCAAGTGCTAGCTCACAAATTTTCTTAAAATCCTGTGACCACATCTCTGAGTCATTTTTATTTCCTGCTTAAAAAAATACAAGCTTTAAAAAAGATGAATTACAATCCTTTCAACAGTGTACCTTTCAGGGACAGAGAGTGGATGGGTGACCATCCATAACAAATAGATACCAGGGGATCTGGGACTGCAAGCAGAGACCAGCTTTGCTCTTGAGATCTCTATACTGATTCAGTGGAAAACAGCCTTGTTAACTATGGTCACCTATCACCTATTCAATATTCTATACATCATTTATAACAAGTTATATATGAAGCTCTGATAGACCCTGTTACGTGTTGTGTTTTCAGCTTATCTACTCATATCTCATAAATGGAAAGTATATTTTTAAGTTCAGATTATATCAAGAAGATGATGTATTAGATCTTTTTTTAAAGTTAAAAGCCATAAATGTTTCACTGTTTTTATGACCGGGGCGAAAGTGGCACTGGATGGAATTTTTTAAGTTCTAAAACACCCCCTTGTGTCTGATTACATTTCATCCCTGCAGGCACTCGTGCATAGTTTAGTATTTTAAACTCAGCATCCAGTCATGTCTGCCAAGCACTGGTTACACCATATGAGTAATCTCTGAGTGCAGTGTACATACTCCATTTAGGTTTTCTCCACCTAGCCAGTGATGTGGATGAGTTGTGTGCTGTTTTAGGGCTTGGAGAAAGAGCACCTTAAAATGAATCAAGTGGCATCAATGTGCTTAATTTCTTCCAAGCTGATAGGTATTCTTTAATTCAGGGAAACAGGACTACACTCAGCAATTACCTCAGTAATTAGTTTAAATCACATACGTTTTGCATTCTACATTATCACGTCTGTTTATGTACTATAGGAACCTTATGACTGATATCATCCCAACAGTAGACTACTCAATTACTTTCTACTTTATCACTTACAGTCTAAATAAACAGATTTCAGCCCAATACTGAATAAAATCTAATCAACCCTTTTGAATCTCCTACTTAGTAAATCTCAAGGATTATACTGATCTTACTTCATGAACAAATACAGCATTCTTGATTTAACACAAATCAAATATTGCATGTACATACTGTACAATAGCTAGAGAACATAAAAAACTAAAATACATTACATTATTACATTATTATTTTTTATAAAGCTGTAAAAAGTGTTTTATATTTGAACCATCTAAATGAAGATTTTTCTGAGATTAAAATGTTGAGTTTGAGAAGTTGCATCGGGCTAGAAAAAATATTTTCCTTCAAGAATCTCAATGATATACAACAGAGATAATGGAAACTAAGCTATTGTGTATATTAGATGTGCAGACAATAGTTGAGTTTTAATCTTCCCAAATTAAAGGCTGAATAAAAAACAAATTGGAATGCAGTGGCAATTGCAAATAAAAGACATTTTACTTTATTTTTATTTTACTTTTATATTAAGTAATATGTATATTACCTTATACTTTTTAAAAGAAAATAAGACATTTTTAAGGTTAATGTCAAACAACTTAGACCTAGTTGTTTATGAAAAACAGGCAAATTTAAAGGTTTAGCCAACTCCTGTGAGTATATTTTAACATAATAGATACTGTATTTATGGGGCTAATTTATGGACCTTATAAATGCAAGGCATTTAAACAAAGATTTATTTAACACAGCAGCAAGGACAAGCCTGAATTACTTCATAGTCATGCTTATGACTTCCTACTTGCGCTGCCATATAGAGTTTACGTGAAAGCACCAGTGCTTTATAGAGTGTGACTCTCATGATACAATTTATGTCTACTTGCTTAGCTAGGGGGTTAGTTTCTTCAGCTCTGCTGACAATGTATGCCAGTGAACTGAGACATCAAGGAATGGAATCATTCCTTCAGTATTTTCTCTATAGCATTGCCTCCGCCCAACAACATCCAAATCATTGTACATTATGGAGAGAAAACAAAAACTTTTACTAAAATGGCTGACTAAAAAAACTAAGCTTGCACACAAATTATACCATGTGTAAAATGTCCACACAAACTATTTACAACCAGGTGATGTTAACATGCATTGAGAGCAGAACAAATAAATGAACTGTGGTTTACAGCAAAAAGAGGTTTCAGCAGAACATTGACTAAAAAATAAACAAAAAGATGATAAAGGTAAAAATCCGGTATATCATATTGACATGAAAATGATCGTTTTGATTGTCACAGAATCTTGCAACATAAAGTTTTTTTTATAAACAACACACAATTCAAATTAAAACACAAACCATTAAGAAGGCAACATGGTCTCTGTCAATGATGACATACAGTACTGCCAAAGTGCTATCAGGGTTCATTGGAACTACGTAGTCAATGAAAAGAGCTTTTCAACTTTTTTAAAAAAGATGATGCATTGCAGAGATGATCTTTCTAATAGAATAATGGTTGTATATATCCATTATAGCACATTATATAGGAACTTCTATACTATATTTCTATATTCAGCTTACTATACTTTAGATGGAATCCGTATAGGATACCTTCCTGAAACATGTAAATTACATAGTCTTCCATTTTGCATTGATGTACACAAAAATAGTAAAACACCAGCTTCCTAAGTAGATTTTCCAAGTATATGATACTGTACAAGCAATACATTTAATCAATACATTAAATATGTATTCCTCCAAATCTGCAAGGGCAAAGTTCTATTTTAATATGTAGTGCTAAAGTAGACGAAAAGCAAAACACACGTGGGTGACGACAGAGAATGTCATCGTCATTCTAGTATGAATAATAATTTTTTGAATGAACACCATATTCAAATACGGTTCACTAGTTCATTAAAACCGACAGACTGGGGCCTTCATTATTGCATAATAATTATTACAATTAATACTTTAATCAACGTTACATTACAAAAATAAAATTATTAACTGATTTTAATTATTTGAAATAGAACCTCTCCCAGCATCACGTAATCCTAAAAACAGCGGTGACGAATTCCAAGGAAAAATATTTATGTCCCAGCAGAGGGCGCCATAAAATCCTAAACTTAAAATCTACTTCACAACCTATTCTGCCATGGGCAAGTACTTCGATCACTTTAATATTGTAAAATACAGCTCCAGACCTAAGTTACATTTTATTAAAAGCAGTTGCTTTACAAACTGTATCACTCATGATGAAAAAGCAAAGCAGCTCACCAAGAATTGCGGTAATTACTCGGACGGGAAGGGCAAAATAAAAGGCAATACTAAAGTTGTTTTAAATTGTTGCAAAACTAAATTATCTATTGTATATCTTTTGCACAAAGCACTGCAATTAATCATTTTTAGCTCCAATTTACAATGCATTAGCACAGGGACAAAATAATAAGAACTTCACTGAAGCAAAATACTTACAAATGCGAAGAAGACACGCCTTTGGAAATAGCAGTACGAAGATCCAATCTTTCTAAGTGGTTAACAAGTTCAAGAATGACCGCTGGATCCTTTTTAAGATACGTGTTAATCTAAATTTGATGAGCTCAAGAAAAATGGGGCATTGCAACAAAAAAAAGTTGATGATGCAAAAGTTTAATGAGCTGACTAAATAAAAGGGTTTAAAGGTTTCGTAAAGCAAGTCAATCTTGAAACGGCGTGCCACCTTCAGATTTCGGAGTGGGATCTGAGCGTGGCTCTTGGCACTTCAGAATAAATGAGTGATCACCGTTTGGTTCGCTAGGTCAGCGCGATTACAACACGGGCAGTAAGAAAACTGACAGTATTTCCCAAAACGATAGTCAGGATTCCGTCACTTGTCTTTCCAAGATGCTAGGATAACTATTGCACTGAATGTTTCCCCCAAAAAGCCTCTTGTTAAACTTTTAATCGTACTTTTTTTCAGGCAGTCTCCATTGCTTCACTCTCCATATCCAAAACCAACAAATGCAACTCCTGTAAGTGAAAATTTCATTCTCTCGTCTCTTTTCTATGAGCACGTATCTCGGAAACTCAAAGGGGACATAAATCACTCCAACCCTAGCACCAAGGATATCCTCTACAAAATGTTGTACCAGCTTCCTCCACGCATTCCTCTACTCATTGCAGAAATGTCAGTGTTCATAGCGATGATGGTTTGAAAGATTAGACACTTGGAGAGTCCATTTGATGAAATATACATAGCACAATGATTCTTCTAGATCTGAATTCTCTAATGCATCCTTTCTGCTTACACGGGTCTGTATTTAAATGGGACTTAAACTTCAAGGACAGAGGTAATAATTAACGCTCCCGGAGCCACCACCTAGCACAGCTGGGAGAGATGTTTCAGAGATAAGCAATCTTCTCCAAATGCCAGCTAATATAAGGGATTGCAAGCAAGCCTTCTTCTGCTTCAAGACTTGAGCGTTCCGCTGGGTCCTAAAGATAGCTCATACCCACTTTGAATAATTACATAGCAGCATTGCATTTAACTGCTTGGAATCATATAAATTATACATTTATTTCTAAATAAAGCCAAAGTGTCCGATGCTCATACTTGAGAATGTAGTCGTTTTCCAATCTGTAATTCTTCACATTGCGCCATTAAAGGAGAATGTAAGTTTGTGAAACCTAAATCGGGTACTGAAACAAAGTGAAACACTTGAGAATAAAAAAAGCATGTAGTGTAATGAATAATTGCTTCATTCTCACCTCTTTTAATTTTAAAGGGGATGCGATAAAATATTTAAAACACCTAAAAAACATTTCCCCACGATTTTGTATGAAATGTCATATTGGGATTTCTGTGACAATTAAAGCTGGGATTAATGACTGCTTTTCTGAAATATGTGAACATGCGGGGTATACAAAAAAGAAAGGACTTGTTCAACAGTAATGCACGTATGTTCTAAATACATTACACGTTTTAAATAATATCAATCCAGTAAAACAAATGTTGCCATTCGTTAAATATGTATTGTTTCTAAATTCTGTTATTGTTTATTACATACTGTTTATTCTGTATGTGCTCATATTTGTTCGGATCGTTTTAAAATATAGTTATTAATTGCTCGACATCTGCTGCGTACTTGTGCAGATGCGTACTGCAAGTGCTTAACGTAGATAAAAACCAATTACATGACTGGCAATGGACCAGTTAGCTTTAAAGTGTTTAGCCGAGCCTTTTCATGTTAGTTCAAATCGTGGTTTCATTCGAGGATTCATAAAAAAAACTTTCTAAGAACTAAAACAGTTATAGCAGCACTGATGTAATACTTAAAGGTAGCGCCCCTCGCAACAAAATAAAGTCAGAGTGAATTCAGATAAGGCCTAAAATGAAACAGTGAGGTACAGTTGACTAATATTAAAGTGCAATCTGTGCAGAGACCCTTCATGCTGTCGAATTCCAGAAATTCCCAATATTGGTCCATACAAGCAAATTAATTATTCAACGTTCCCAACCGTACATTTGGAATTTATATTTATCCCTTTAATATTACCCTTTGATTTCATTTTTGAAAATAGAAAGTACTGGTGTCGTGTTTAACGATAGTAAACTGAACAAAAGAGCAATGCTATTTCCTATTTTTAGTTTGTAATTACTTTTGAAACAGACCATAGCAAGTTACAGATGGGAAAAAAAAAACATCAACAACATTAAAAGACTAGAATTACTTCACATTACGTGATAAACCAGAATAGGAAAAGTAAGATGGAAAAACGAAGAAAAAAATCACGCGCTCATAGATGTCCTTCTCCATTTTAAGTCTAAAGTTAACGTGCTTGATCTGCAAAAAGATTGCTTCATATTTCAGGATACTTGTAGTTTAAATACAGAATAGATTTAGAAAATAATTTACATTTTTGAGTTGAATACTACCTGCTCAGAACTGAAATTAATCAAATCAGTTTGCTCTTCCAAGGTGACTGAAAGAGAAAACAACATTTAACAAAGTGTATTCAGTTACCATGCCGATTTTACTTCATTTAAATAGCTTTTCAACGACTGTACATTGAAGTAGGTTAAATAAAACCAATGACTATGACTAAGACAGTGATGTATGTGAATTCCACTGATATTACCTAATGGGATCCGTGACAAACTGTTGTCTGTTTGGTATTTTTCATGACTGGTAATTAAATTGGTTATTCAGCCTTTATGTTGTGCCTTGTCAATGTAACACAGCCAACAACAATAGGATTATACAAGGCAGAAGGTTCCATATAAAGTTGTAAACTTCGAGTTACAAAATAAAAGTCTATAGTTTACCTATTGGGCAACTGTGTACCAAACGCAGTGTACAATCCTGTAAAAAAAATGTTTCGCAAGTAGATGTAGAATAACGAATAACTTTGCCTGTCATAAAGTGTGTTGTAAGACACAATTTTTTCAAAGATCGTTTATAAATGCCGTTGGGAAATCACTAAAAATTCAATTAACGATAGAGAGCACAGTGAACAGAAACATTAGGGAATCACATTTACAGAAAGAATATCAAGACACTGTACATAACATGAAATACGAAAACCTGCATCATATACTGTACTGTATGTTCTTGGTCAAAATGTTTTATGAAAGTCTAACTAGTCTTATTTTTATGGTGTTTGAACAAAACTCCCTAGCGTGGACTAAACGGTTAGATTGAATATCACAGCTCGAGACTTAACCGTTTCTTAAAATTACATGGAAGTGCAGAAGCAGATGCAATCTGTATGTGTATTGCGCATTTCCTATCTTTAGCAGTTACTCGAGCAAAACCTAGAGCTATCTTTCTGGATTGTAGTACAAATGTCATTTTTCTTAGCAGCCAGTCGGAAAATTCAATTCTGCATGATACAACTTAACAATTCGAGAACCCACAGCCCGCGGAAGACTGCACTACTTTGACTGCAAAGAATCCATTCTATATACAGTAAGCGGCCACATCCATCAGCAATTTAATGGACAGAAAGGCCGGTAGATGGAGAAAATACTGCTGTAGTCAGTTTTCAGACAGAGCAGCAAGTCTGCAACAACGTACTGTACTTGCACGGCTTATTCAATGTCAAAAATCAATCTTTAAAGTATTTGCTTTTACAATAATAAAAAATAAAAGCAACGACATTGATACTTTATGTTGCAGTACATACAGTATATACTACAGGACGATTTTCTTCTATATCTGTCATTTAAATCATGTTTGGTTATAACACGTTTGCCAGTGTATAACTGCCGAGTTATTTTCTGATCTACTGTAAGTGATTTTATACTCCAAGCTGAAACATAAAGTTTCTATAAAGGGTTATCAATCATGACAAAATAAGCCGTTTGCATCTCACCTTTGCTTAAAACCCCCGTCCCACTGCAATATACCGTACAGTGTACTGTAACTCTGTTGATCCCATGTACTAACTAGTTTGTGACTGAGATCTTTTCTGTCTACAGCCAACCTTTTACGAGACAGGTGTTTGTAATGACTTCATCTCCCCACAGTTTTCTCGGAGTGGAGTAGTCGAAGGCACAAACGCCACTTCTTTGAAATAACACGGGGAAACGGCATGCTGGTGCAAGGTAGCACTTTCATTTCGTTTTTTTATATTATTCGCGCTGGAAGAACGCGTGTTTAACGGGTGCGTGATAGTACATTTACTGTACACATAGCCTACGCAGGTCCATCTTTCCGGCGTTAAGTGTCTATATACACACTACAAATGTAATGAATAATAATAACTTGCGCTGTTGATATTTGCATGGATCTCGTTCCAATATGCAAATCACTGCAAGATGAATCTCATTAAAATCTAAATACTTGATGGGACCATAGCAGAGAACACTGGAAGCTCATCCTTGCTGTTCATTTCGCATTTCGATGATTTATGCAACAGAACTCTAACTCTGACTGAAATGCTTGAATGTAATGTTTTTTTTTCCCTTCTGTTAAGCATGATTGTTTAACACCACACTCTGTGGCTTAGGTGTTTTCTTATTTTAGTACGTTATGTACAAATGTCAAGTTCACGAAGACAATTGTTAAAAAATAATGAAAATATATCGTGTCTGCAATGTCTATGCTGATAGTTATACATATTCTCCACTTTGTGAAACAAGAGGCTTCCTCAGTAGGTGAAATAAAAAAAATACAATCTAAATGTGGTCTACATTGGAGTTGGGTTACAAAAGGCAGAACACAACGAGGTTTTACAATATTAGATACATTTGCATGTGTACACCATAGACTTTAATAATTAATCCAAATTACAGATTATGTCTCCAGAAAAATAAAAATCTTGTTTCTTGAGCTAAGGCATGTATGCAACACTCCTATATAAACTGCTTAACTTGTCCCAGGAAAAAAACATTCTTAGAGTATGTATTGATAAAGTATCTTACAATAAACAAATACAAAAAATTAAGTAGATATAAATAAAAAGATTTGATAGGTATCTACAATATGCTTATCTTTTCTCTGAAGGCTTACAGTATAGCACTACAGTGTACTGTAGTTATCTAAAAAAATATCAAATAACATAAATTCTGACAATGCATTAAGCGTGAAAAACCAATTGAAATCTTGTTATTGGAGAGTTTGCAGAGCATTTTGCGTTTATTTTTCATTACTCCATTTAATTTAGGAGTTGTATGGTTTCGTTCACATTCTTTGTAACTGTGATGCAAATAAAGTTACATTTCAGTGCCTGGACAGCTCCTTGTATAATAACTGCCTTGTAATGGATGTGCTTAGCTACCACTGTGTAGTGTTGTGAATAATCACATGACAATTAAGACATTTATTCCAAAATATAGATAAAATGACAAACATGGTAGGTAGGCATAGCCAGACAAAACATGCCCAAATGGAGGACTGATTAATAACAACACCAATGTTTTCTTTTCTCTTCTTACTAATGATGTTTAATAAAACTTTCAGTGATTAGTCATCTAATTACACATTTGTCACTCATCAGAAAATATGTATTAAGCCATTCTGTGTTTCACGAAAAGTCATGTGTGCTCATTTATCATCAAATTGTGTGCAATACTGTTTCTGTTTAATTTAGAATATTTTTGCCAAGCTAAGGTTTTGATTTTGCATTGAAGACTTATTCACTGTAATGCTTCATTTCTAAACACATTTGTTGGGTCCTGAAATATCCAGTAGGCCTACAATCAGGTATAAATGAGAAAATAATATTCACCTTTCAAAAGTGTTGATGCTTTCCAGAAGGGAAAAATCTAGTTAAATGCCATTTTGCTAAATGCTAATTCAGAGTGACCTGGAAATTTTTAACTAGTAAAGCAAGATTTAAAATAACTTCTTCCTTCTTCAATAGATCTGGCACTTTTGAATTTATTTATACATTGGTCTGTAAGGAACTCAAGTATTA